CCTGGGTCGACCATGGCCCTTCAGGCGCTCGAAGAAGCGGTCTCTTTGCGGGTCGCCCTGGCGAGTGCCGAGCTGGCCCCTCGGGCTGCCCTCCCCGCCTCGGGCGCGCCTCTCCCAAGGAGCGGGGTTTCGTCTGCCCTCGCGACGCGGGCGGCTGAGTCTGATGCCATCCTCGCCTCCGCCGTGTCGCGCGGTCGCGTGGAGCTCGACGCACTCCGCACCGCGCGTGCCGACGCCACCAGGCGCACGGTGCAGGCTCCTGCACGCGGCGAAGGCGAGCGTGCCGTCGCTCGTGCCGAGCTCGCGGAAGGGATGGCCGATCGCGCCTACTTCCGACGCTTGCGCGAGGCCGCCAGTCGTGAGGCCGCGGGCTTGCCGCGTACGGCTCCCGTCCAGCTGGGTCGGGATTGGCGCAAAACTCTGCGCGCCGTCCTGCACAACGCTGAGGTCTCGACGGGCCTCGCCAACGCGGATCGTGCCGCTCGAGCTGGGGACGCCCCCGCGTCGTCCACTGGGCGCTCCCTGGCCGAGGTGGAAGCTGTGGACCCGCGCGCCTTGGCGAGACCTGCCGACGACCCAGCGTCCAGCTTCTGCCGTCGTGAGGGGCGCGCGGTCCGCGCCCGCCTGGGCCCGCGGGACGAAGCTGTCGAGGACCAGCCCAATCGCGGTGGTCACGCGCCGCACTCCGCCTCGCGCACGGGCGCCGCGCGCAACAGGCGCGCCAAGAAGCAGCGGCGAGCTTCGACGGCGGCGCTCCCCGCCCCTGAGGGGGGGGCCGCCGCGACGCCGGGCCGCAGGGCGCGTCGCACTGCTAATGCGCGCCGCTGGGCAGGCGCGGCACGCTCCAGCTCCGCCGCGGGAGTGGGCCCTCCACCGCGGAGCCGCAGCCCTGCCCGCAGCCGCACGCGGTCTCCGAACCCGTACGGGACTGATCACACCTCTCCCTCGGGAGGCTGCTCCTCGCCTCCCATCGACGGCTCGATCTCGCCAGAGGAGCCGTCGGGGCCGCCGGCGGGGGAGGCATCGGAGGGCCCGCACACTCCTGACGGGTCTCCGCCCGCGAGCGCCCGCAGCCGCTCGAGAGCGGAGCCCGCGTGCGAGGAGGACTCTCCGACGGAGCTCGAGGACGTCGTGCTGAGTGCCCTCGCGGACTCCTCGGTGGACCTCGAGCGCGTCGTGGCGGGCCTGAACCCCGAGGTCCTCCTCCGCTTGCAGGCGGCCTTCCCTCGCCGCGCGGAGGCCTCTCCGCCCGCCGCTCACGCCGCGGCTCGCAGCCGCTCTCGGGGCCGCGGCACGCGTGCAGGCTCCGAGACGCCGCGGCCCGTCCCCCCGCCGCCGCCACCACCCCGTCACCACTCTGGTGGGCGTGCGGCGTCGCGATCCCGCGGGTCGGCCGCCGGCCAGGGGCTTTGTCGAGCGAACGCGCGCGACTCCTCTCGTGCGCCTTCGCGTCAGGCGACGTCGCCTGGGCGTCGCGAGGTGCGCTCCCCTCGAGTCGCTCCGAAGCGTCGCCCGAGCCCCGCCACTTCGCAGCAGCCAGCCACGCCCCGCCATGGTGCGAGCACGGACGTCGCCTTCGCAGGCAGCTCCCGCGCGGACTCCGCTGCTCAGGCCCCTCCGACTTCGGTAGGCATGCGCTCTTCCAGCGATGCTGTTGCGGCCCCGCAGGGAGGAGGGCGTGCCGCCGAGACAGGGGGGTCTTCGAGCGGCTTCGCGCTTGGTCGAGCTTCTGAGCCCGAGCTGCCTCTCAGCGGCTCTCACAGCGGTGACGCTGGAAGCGCCGCGGCTGCAGCCTTCGCAGCGCGGCGCACGGCCTCTGCGGCCGCTGAGCAGCCCTTGCCTCCAGGGGCCGCCAGCGCCCTAGCGTGGCGCCTCAACATCGGCGGTGAGAAGATCACTGTGGTGAGGTGGGGACCCGCCTGGCAAGCTGCCTTCCAGAGCGCGGCGTCGTGGCTGAGGTCTTTCGCACTCGCAGGGGCCGCCGAGCCCGAGGGCAAGGATGACTTGCACTGCCTCCTGCGGGCCTTGCACGCCTACAAGCGCCTGTTTCAGACAGGCGGCGCCGAGCCGATCGACGAGGCCTCGTGGTTGCATCCTTACGTGGCCGTCGTCGAGCCCGAGGCTATCCCCGCGCATGCAGACCTCCAAGCCATGGGGGCGGGCGCCATCCGTGGCATCGGGCTCGGCTCAAAGATCGAGCAGCGGCGGCGCGCGGGCAAATTGGCCTGCCTTTTCGACCTTCTGTACCACGTGCAGGACAGTCACGGCGCCATCCCAGCAGCGCTGTGGGGATCCCACTCCCCTCCGTCCGAGATCCTCGACGCCTTCGCGGAGGTGGTGCCCGTTCCACATCATTCGGGCCTCACGTCCTCGGCAGCTCGTTCCGAGCTCGCCGAAGCAGCCGCAGCTGCGCGTGCCGAGCCGCGCCCGCCTTTTGACTGGGCGACCCTCGAGGGAGGGGACGCTCTGTCAGCCGAGATCGAAGCAGGGGCTCGCCGTGCCTACCGTAACATGGGCGGATCCTTCAGCTCGGCGCGGGCGATGCTGGCGGAGGCGTCGGGGTTCGAGACCGACGGGCGGGACGCCCTCGTTCCGCCCTTCTACGCGTCCAGGCGCAGGAGGGCCGCCACGCTGATCAGCTCTCCAAGCCCTGGCCGCCCTGCGCTCATCCTGTGGTGCGTCTGCGGCCTCTGCGTCTCTCTGGGAGCCGCGGCGCCGACCGCAGGCCAAGGGCTTAGTCGGGCTGCGCCGTCCGCGCCCGCTCGCCCTCCGCGCACTCCCTTCGTGCGCGATTCTCACCTCACCTCCGCGTATCTCGACCGTCGCTCGAGATCGAATGATGCCTTCGAGCTGTGGTTAGCAGAACACACTGGCGTGCCACCCGCCACACTTTACCGAAGCGGGATACTTCTCGCCCGTTTCCTCGCGACCTTCGGCGTGTGGCTTCATGATTCAGGTTTCCCTCATTATATTTTGGTCCATGCCATCTTGGGAATCCAAAGCGCCCATCCGCATTGGAAGGCCTTTCTGACAGAAGCTTGGGGCGTAGCGAAACAATGGAAGCTTGCGGAGCCGCCAAAGCTCCGTCCCCCCTTGCCACGCGCGCTGCTGCGCGCCATGGTCGGGCTCTGTCTCGCCTGGGACTGGCCGGTGATGGCGGCCCTGCTGCTCATGGGCTTCACAATGTTCCTCAGGCCTGGCGAACTGCTGGCGTCGCGCCGCTGTGACCTGTCGCTTCCATGCGACCGTCTCGAAGTTGAAGGGGATGCTTTTCTTTCGATTCTTGTTCCAAAGACCAGAAGAACGTACCCGACGCAACATGCTCGCTGCTCCGATCGGGGCACGGTGAAGGTGTTGAATCAAGTGTTTGGGAGGTTGGCTTCCACCGATCCTCTCGCCCCCTTCGGCGCGAGCGGCTTCCGTACTCGGTGGAATCATCTGCTTTTGGCTCTGGGCGTCCCTCTTGCCAAAGCAGGTCAGGGGCTCAACCTGACGCCCGCTTGTCTGCGGGGCTCTGGCGCAACAGACTTCTTTATCGCTACGGAAGACGTCCCCCGCGTCTTCTGGCGAGGGCGCTGGCGTCAAGCTTCCAGTGCCGAGCGCTACCTGCAAGCCGCCGCCGCCTCCACAGTTCTTGCTGCGCTGCCCGAGCACGCACGGGCTCGTATCTTGTTCTTCGCCACCGCCAGCGACCGCCGTGTCGCTTCGTTCCTCCAAGTCGGCCCCGCCGCTTGGCCTGCCCTGCTTGCGGCCGCCCGCCAAAACCTTGTCACTTCGCAAGGTCCTTGAGCACGGGTATGGCTGCCTCGCCGACATCGGCGACCAGACGGACTCCACCGTCTGACGCGCGGCGCCCCGGCTTGAGCGCGCGGGACGGGCCCGCCCATTTTGGGCCGCCCCGCGCGCGCACGCCGCGGCCGCGCTCGGAGACAGCTCGCTAGCGCGCGAGCGGGAGAATGCTTCTTCTATTCTCTGTGAGCAAGCTCCTGCTGTCTCCGCTGCTTCTCTGCCCCCCTCCCTCCTCTCCCACTCTAAGGCTGACGGGCGCTGCCTCGCCGACATCGGCGACCAGACGGACTCCACCGTCTGACGCGCAGCGCCCCGGCTTGAGCGCCGCGGACGGGCCTGCCATTTTGGCCGCACCGCGGCGCGCGCCACGCCTGCGACGCGCTCGAGACTTCTCGCTAGCCGCGAGCGGGAGAATCGTCCTCCTCATCAGCATCATCATCATCATCCCCCTCCTCCTCCTCATCCTCCTCCTCTCCCTCCTCCTCCTCCTCCTCCTCCTCCTCCTCCTCCTCCTCCTCCTCCTCCCCGTCGTCCTCGTCCTCCTCCTCCTCGTCCTCGTCCTCGTCCTATCCCCTGTGTGCGCCGCCAACGAGGACGCGAACAGCTGGAACGCGTGCTTCGACCAGGCGATCCGTTAGGTCCTCCTGCACTCTCCTCGTCAATGTGGCCTCTGATGGGAGCTCGTGCTGCACCTTCACTTGCGTGTGTTCGGGTCCTTCTCCAGACGTGGTGGCTCCTGAGCTGGGGGAACGAAGAATTACATGAACATACCTCTGCCGTTCTTCGTTATGTCCTTATGTTGAATGTGATTGTGTGCTGTTCTATGTGTTGTGTGTTTTTATATGCCACTCTTTTTTTATCTGATTCGTCATGTTTTTTGTCCGAGATATCCGCGAGGAATCCGAGGTTGTATGTCTATGTAATGCTTCGTTCCCCTAGGAGTGGCGCTTCGTGGCGCCCTCTCTTCCCCCCTGCCCTCCTCCACCTCCCAGCTATCATCGCCATCATCCCCCTCTTCCTCCCGCCTGCGCCCTCTCTTCCCCCCTCCTTCCTCCACCTCCGAACTCAGAGGCGACGATCGGGGCGAATAGCCCAGGGAAGAGCAATACATGCAGTCAGGTGCGCCGACGATCTCTGTCTTCGCAAAGGCTCCCACGCGAATGCGTGTAATGCCCGCCCCTGGGCTATTCGCCCCTATCGTCGCCGCCAACTAAATATCATCGCCATCGTCCCCCTCTTGCTCCCGGCGCGCACATCCCCGGATATCGGTCGATCGCGGCGACCATGCGCGCGCGCGCCGTTGCGGTGCCTCGAGTCGCCGCCACGTGCCGCCACGGGTCGACGAGGCGCCGCTAAGTTGCCGCTGAGTGCCGCAGAGTCGAGGTTTCCTGGTGTGCCCAAGTTTCCCAGGCGAAGCCACACGAGCGGCTCTTCTTCACCGACGCTGGCGCGTAAGCTGCCCGCGTAAGGTCGCGCGCAAGCGCCCCCGTCTCCAACGTGGCGTGCCGCGCCAGCGGCCCGCGCAGGCCCTGGTGTAAGATCGCTCCGGTATCTCGCGTGAGGCTTTGGGGGCATTGCTGGGGTCTCCTGGGAGCTTCCTGGGAGCCTCTTGGAGGCATCTTGGGGGCACCCTTGGGCCTCGTTTAAGCGAGGAAAGACCACCCGGACCCGACAATTGGCGTTTACTAAACGGCCCTGGGCGTCTACGAAGCAGCCCTGCCCTGTTTGATCCCTTCTTTGGGTGCGTTTACTAAACGGCTTCGCGTGTCGGGGTGGTTATTGTCGGGGTGGGTTCTCAGTCTCAGCCGCCATCTGGTTTCCTGCAGGTCTCACTCGGGAGGAAAGGGCGATGACAGTCCTGCGGCAGGGTTGCCTGCCGACTCCCCGGCACGAGTCGGACAATGATCAGGTGTGTGCGTTGTCTCCCGTTCGCCTCTTCCTCCCTCCTTTCCAAAATAGCGCGGGAAAAAAAATTGTCGGGGTGGGTTCTCTGCCCTCTACTCTTGGGGGCCCTCGGGCGCTTCTCGGGGGCCTCTCTGGCCGCTTCGGGGCACTCCTGGCCGCCCGTCCTCCCTCCGCCGCTCGCACGACCCTCGCCGCCATGCGGCGGCGTGGTCCGGCCGCTCTGCCGAATTCGCGTTCTCTGCACGCGCTCGCTGCAGCCCGCTCTCACCCCTTTCTTCTCGGGGCCGGCAGGGAGGGGGAGGGGGAGGAGGAGGAGGAGGAGGAGGAGGAGGAGGAGGAGCAGGAGGAGGAGGAGGCAGGTGGAAGGAGGAGGAGGAGGAGGAGGAGGATGTGTGAGGAGGAGAGGAGGATGGAGGAGGAGGAGGAGGTATGGAGGAGAAGGAGGAGGGGAAGGAGAGGAGGAGGAGAGGAGGAGGAGGAGGAGGAGGAGGAGGAGGAGGGGGAGGTGGAGGAGGAGCAGGAGGAGGATGGAGGAGGAGGAGGACGGTGGAGGGGAGGAGGAGGAGGAGGTGAGGTGGAGGGAGGAGGAGGAGGAGGGGAGGGGAGGGGAGCGAGGGGGAGGAGGAGGAGGAGGTGAGGAGGAGGGATGGAGGTGGTGGGGGAGGGTGGGAGGTGGAGGAGGTGGAGGAGGAGGAGCAGGAGGAGGAGGAGGAGGAGGAGGAGGAGGAGGAGGAGGAGGAGGAGGAGGAGGGGGGGTGATGACTGGGGGGGGGATCTCAATACCATGGCATGGGCTCTGATATCTCCTCAGGCTTCACGGCGCCTCTTCTTGTCTCGTACATGTGCCTGGCCACCCCCCATGGGCCGCGCACGTGCCGCCAGCCATGATTTGCGCCCCCCTTTTTGGACGCCCCCCCTCTTGGCCGCCCCCGAACAGGAGTCCACGCCTCGGAACCCACGCGTGGAAGTCCACACACATGGCTGAGCACAGCAACACAGGGCCAGTTCCGTACAGCACGAGTGAAGAAGCTCATAAGTTCTAGGCCTGCGTCCGGAACATCGGCCCGCTTATCGTGTGCCAGCAGGCATCAGACAACCACGCCTGCACACCGCCATCTTTCCAGCATCAGCTGCATGACAGCATGCTTTGAGCCCCCCCTCTCTTTAAGTCGGGCCTGTCCCTCTACAGGAAGAATATTCAAAAATATTCAAAATATAGTCTGGGGACGATCTTTTGACCATTTTTGAGCATTATTGGAATCTGTTTGGACTATTTCTTCTTCCTCGTCCAAGATACCCCTGTAGGGGGACAGACCCGAGCTAACCCTCTCTTGGACGCTCCCCTCTTGGCCGACCCTGACCTTCGCCCGGGGGTGGGGAGGCGGGCGGCCCCGCCCCCCTCTCGGCGCGGGGGGGGGGCTCTCCCGCCTCTCCTGCCCCTGGCGCGCCCGCCCCCTGCCTGCAGGAGGAGGAGGATGAGAGAAGGATGAGGTGAGGATGGGAGGGAGGGGCGGGTGAGAGGGAACGGGAGGTGGAAGGAGGAGGAGGAGGATGGTGGGATGGAGGAGGAGGAGGAGGAGGTGGAGGAGGTGGATCGGGGAGGGAGAGGGAGGAGGGGGGAGGAATGAGGAGGAGGAGGGAGGCAGGCAGGAGGGAGGGAGGGAGAAAGGGAGGGAGGAGGAGTGAGGGAAGGAGTTGGAGAGAAGGAGGAGTGAGGGTAGGCAGGAGAGGGAGGAGGGAGGATTGGAGGAGGGAGGAAGTGAGGAGGAGGAGCGAGCGAGGTGTGAGGAGGAGGTGGAGGGGGACGAGGAGGCAGGGAGGAAGGGAGCAGGATAAGGAGAGGAGGGGGAGGAGGAGGAGGAGGAGGAGGAGGAGGAGGAGGAGGAGGAGACCTTCGAAGGAGGAGGAGGAGGACGTGCAGGTCTAGCTAGAATCACGTCAAGATACGCGATCGGTTCGGAGGCGTGCCCGCAGGTCTCCTTCCATATCGCCCCCTCCCTCCCTGTCACGGGCTGCAGCGGTAATTGCTTCTGCCGAGGTCAAAGGGACCGAGCGGCAGTCTAGTCGTACTGCGCGTCATGAACGGCGCTCGCAGTCTGCACGAGCACCCAGGGGTCGGGGCTGTGAAGGGAGGGACGACGAGGGCGACTATCCCCTCCGCCCCAGCGGGGGGGGAGAGACGGGAAGCAGCAGGGCGTGGAGGCAGAGAGGGGCAGCCAAGCGAGGAGGAGCGGGACGACGACGGTGATGTTTATGGCGACGACGACGATGGTGAAGATGACGATGATAATGAGGATTAGGATGATGCTGATGGTGATGCTGCTGATGATGCTGGTGGTGATGATGATGACGATGACGATGCCGATGATGATGCTGATGATGATGATGATGCTGATGATGATGATGATGATGATGACGATGACGATGGTGATGATGATGATGATGATGATGATGATGCTGATGCTGATGATGATGATGAGGATGATGATGGTGATGGTGATGGTGATGGTGATGGTGATGGTGATGGTGAGGGTGATGATGCTGATGCTGATGATGATGATGATGATGATGATGATGATGGTTATGCTGATGATGATGCTGATGATGATGATGATGATGGTATGGTGATGATGGTATGGTGATGGTGATGGTGCTGGTGCTGGTGCTGGTGATGGTGGTGATGGTGGTGGTGGTGGTGATGGTGATGGTGATGGTGATGATGATGCTGATGATGCTGATTGTGAACATGATGATGAGGATGCGGACGAGGATGTGGATGAGGATGATAGTGATGCTGCTGATGATGATGGTTATGCTGATGATGATGCTGATGATGATAGTCATGATCAGTATCATGATCATGATGGTGGTAGTGCTGTGATGCTGATGGTGATGATTATGGGAATGGCGATGATGCTGAGGCTGATGCGGATGGCGGTAGTGAGGATGTCTGTGGTGGTGACGGTCATGGCAATGGCCATGGTGGTGGTGGTGATGATGATAATGATGATGATTGTGGTGGTGGTTGTGTGACGGTAGAGGTGATGATGGGTGGTGATGATAAGGTTGATGGTAATGTTAATATTGGTGATGGTGCTTGTACGTGTGATGGTGGTGGTGGTGGTGATGGTGGGGATGCTACTGCTGATGACGATCATGATGATTATTGATGATGGTGGTGGTGGTGATGCGGATGAAGATGAGGATGAGGATGCTCATGGCGAGCATGATTCAGATGATGTTGATGGGGAGAGGGAGGAGGAGGGTGCGACGGCGATCCTCGACGATCCTCGACGACGGCGACGACAACGATGACGACGACGACGACGACGACGACGACGACGACGACGACGACGACGACGACGACGACGACTCTTAACGACGACGACGGCCCGCGGAAGAGGAAGAGGAGGGGCGGGCATTGAGCAACCAGGGGGACGACCTAGACCTTCGACGCCGCGACTTGTTCGGGTTGCCAGCACCTGGAGCTTCGTATCGACCCCTTCGCTAGGGACATGCTTTTGACTAGCCTGAGTCGTTCATTGACGGCACTAGACAGGCAGGCATAGGAGGAAAAGCAGTTCCAGAGCATTCCCAGAACGCTCTCAGAGCGCGCTGGAACACTCCGGGGCGACCGCGGTGACCGATACATCCTCCAAACGTGCCAGCCCTCAGAGATCCCTAGTTGGTCCTCGTCCGAATGTGTCCTCATCCTGGTTTCGTCTTGCCTGGAGGCCCCCAAGACGGCCCCAAGCGACGCCCGCGGCAACCAATAGGGACCTGAGAGAGCCCAAGTGGACCCCAATCTGCCCCCACGAGGGTTTTTTCCCGATGGAAGCTCCTGATCCGATATCACCTACAGTCAACCCGCATGGTAAGGATGGGCGACCTTCCCATGTATATCCTTGTATCACTACCTCCTCGGCCCATCCTTGGTCACTTTCGTCGGCCGCGCCCCAGTCGAGAAGCTGCGACATGGGCGTCCAAGGCCCTTGCACCCTTATCGCGCATCCTTATGATGCGGGCCGACTGTACCCAGCATACCACCGTCGTGGGTCCCCGTTCCTCTCAGGAGGCAGGAGAAGGAGGGAGGAGAGGGAGGAGGAGGAGGAGGAGGAGGGGGAACGGAGAGGTGGAGGAGGAGGAGGGAGGAGGGGAGTAGGATAGTGGATGCGAGAAGGTGGAGAGAGAGCTCTCTGCCTCTCCTGTCCTTATCCTCCTCCCCTCCTCCCTTCATCCACCTCCTCATGTTACTTCATCATCATCATCATTCATCATCCATCATCATCATATCTCATCTCATCATCATCCATCATCCTCTTCATCCTCATCCCTCATCTCATCCTCCTCCTCCTTCCTCCTCCTCCTCCATCTCCTCTCCTCCTCCTTTCTGTCTCGAGCCCCTCCCTCTGGACCTCTCGAGCCCACATGGGGCATCGCGCGTGTCTGGTCCTGCGGCGCCGGGCTCTGGGCCATTTCAGGCCAGGGCTGCTGCGGTGGCGAGCACAGGCGTGCACCGCGATACTCGAAACCTCGCGATCTCGAGGGGCGCAGGAGGGGTGCAGAGGGAGGAGGAGGATATGGAGGAGGAGTTAGGAGGAGTATGGAGGGGAGGAGGAGCTGGAGGAGGAGAGCGGAGGAGAGGAGGAGGAGGAGGAGGAGGTGGAAGTGAGGGGAGGAGGAGGGGGAGGGGGAGGGGGGAGGGGAGAAGGAGGGGGAGTAGGGGGGAAGGATGGAGGAGGAGCAGGAGAGAGATACGAGGGAAACTGATGAGAAAGATGGAGATCGAGATGTGAGCAAGAGAAGTGGGAAGAGGAGGATGAGGATAGACGGGCTGGAGGAGGAGGAGGAGGAGGAGGAGGAAGAGGAGGAGGAGGTGGAGGTGGAGGGAGGAGGAGGAAGTAGGAGAGGAGGTGAGAGGAGGAGGAGGAGGAGGAGGAGGAGGGGGAGGAGGAAGACGGGGAGGAGCATCAACCGACCCGCACGGCTTGCGGAGGCGCTGACGGGCGATTAGCAGCATGAAAGGGACGGGAGAAGCAGGACGAGGAATGGAGAAAGAGGAAGAGAAAGGCAGCAGGAAGTGCAGGAGAAGGAGGAGGAGGAGGAGGCGGAGCAGGAGTACAGAGACTGGAGTGTCATGTTTCTAGTGGTGGTGTTGCTGTTGTTGGTGATGATGGTGATGCTGATGGTGTGACTCTGATGATGATGCTGGTGATGATGATGATGATGATGATGATGATGCTGATGATGATGATGATGATGATGACGATGACGATGACGATGACGATGTTGATGATGATGATGCTGATGCTGATGATGATGATGCTGATGCTGATGATGATGATGGTGCTGCTGATGATGATACTGATGATGGTGATGGTGGTGATGGCGACGTTGACGATGCTGCCGATGATGAACATGATGCTGGTGGTGGTGTTGCTGCTGATGATGATGGTGGTGATGATGATGATGCTGATCCAGACCATGTTAAACACACGTCTGACGAGGCCTTGCACCGAGTCGAGGAAAGGCGAGTGACCGACCCCTACCCCACGCCTCTCCCTCACGTCCGCTACGATTTGCCGCCATGCAGACGCATCTGGGCTCGGGCAGGGCACGGCCGACCACTGGTCCAGCACGGACCTCGGAGGCGCCGTATAATCTCTCCTGTGGCCCTGCAGCGCGACCACCTGCCGAGGGGTGGAGGGTCCCACGCCCACGGCAGCAGCACGCAGGGGACGACGAGGCAGTCCATCAGAGCGTGAATTGCCTACCCCGCCTTCGCTTCCAGGCAAAACCAAGTCGTACCACGCGCCTCCTCGTCAAGCGGCCTGGCCAGTACAGGCCGTAGTTTGGAATCGCCTGGTATCTCTTGGGAGCGAGGGTGGTCAAACACGAGGTAGGTTTGTTTGCCTGCACCCTAGTCAAGCGACACATGCATTCGGGCAGCGAGCCATGGTACCACCAGGCTAGCATCAAGTCGGGCCTGTCTCTCTACAGGGGGAATCTTCCAGAGTAGCCAAACGATAGCCAGGGGACACTTGTTGCTACCCCCTTTTAACGTTTCCTTTGTATGTTTTCACTATCTTCAATGTTTCGCGCGACTTCGGTCTGCAGGGGGGCTTGCCCGACCTAAGGCTATCGCGCACGTAAGCATGGAGCGTCAAACGTCTGGCGCCGTGCAAGCACCGTGCAGCAACAGCTGAAGGGGGTCCGAAGGAGTGTCCCGACAAGAAGGTGTCCCGACACATGCTGCGTGTGTGTTCGGCCGCCGAGCTTTAAGCAGAACGATTTCTCGGAATCGTCGAGGTCCCGCACGTGTGGATGGACCTTCCGCGCGTGCGCTGTAAAAAAAACAGTGCAGCAACAGCTGGGAGAGCCCGCACGCCTCAGACAATCGGATATATGCTGCGGCACGGCCAGCCCACGACGGCGGGAGCCACACTGCACCGTGAGTGGGCAGAGCGCAGCACGGCGAGCAGGCCGCCCCATCCCCACCTGCGCACCGCACACGTGCTCGCGATACGCAAAAAAAGCTCAGGAGGGAAAACAACACACATACACAATTAATCGTCGATTCCCCCCGAAAATATGGGAAGCTATGGGAAGTGAGGGAGAAGACGAACACCCATGAAATATGGGAACATGTGGGGACTAGTTTTATTTGTGTGTATATAGTTGTGCGTCCCAGGGCCCCCTTCAAAAGCGTCTGCCAAGCAAAACAGCACGGCAGCAGCGCAGCCTGCTCGAGGGACCTCGCAGACAAGGGTCAAGAGCCCGAACAGGACGGACTCCACCGTGACATGATGATGGTGGCGATGATTTTGACGACGATGGCGACGGCGATGGCGATGATCATAACCATGATCGCGATCATGATGATGGTAGTGGCGATTACGTACGATGTTGATGCTGATGTTGATGATGGTGATGATGCTTACAATGATCATGCTGATGCTGATTTTGATGCTGATGATCATGATGGTGATGATGAGTTCTGTGATGACGTCGACGAAGACGACGAAGACGAGGACGGTGGCCACGACCACGACGAGGACAACGACGGCGACGACGACGATGATGATGATGCCGATGAGCAGGAGGGTGACGATAGCGATGATGATGATGATGATGATGATGATGATGATTATGATGCTGCTGATGATGCAGGTGATGGTGATGATGATGTTGGTGCTGCTGCAGATGATGCCGATTATGTTGGTGGTGATGGTGGTGTTGATTATGGTGATGATGATGATGATGATGACGATGACGATGATGATGAATATGACGATGATGCTGATTTCGAGGATGACGACTCAACTTATGACGATGATGACGACGGCGATTATGATGGTGTTGGTGTTGATAGTGGTGTTGGTGTTGGTGCCAGTGCGTGTGCTGAACATGATGATGATAATGGTGATGGCGATGGTGATGGTGATGTTGATGATGATGTTGCTGTTGATAATGATGATGGTGGTGGTGGCGATGATGGTGATGCAGCTGCTGCTGATGATGCCGATGATGCTGATAATGATGATGCTGATGGTGTTGCTGATGGTGACGATGATGATGGTAATGGTGATGATGCTCCTGCTGCAGATGATGATGAGGATGCTGATGGTGATGATGAGGTTGATGATGATGATGGTGATGGTGATGGTGATGCTGAGGATGAGGATGAGGATGGTGATGCGGATGAGGATGAGGATGCGGATGATGATGATGATGATGATGATGATGCTGATGCTGATGATGATGATGATGCTGATGATGATGATGATGATGGTGATGGTGATGGTAAAGGTGGTGATGGTGATGGTGATGGTGATGGTGATGATGATGATGATGAGATGATGCTGATGCTGATGCTGATGCTGATGCTGATGCTGCTGCTGATGATGGTGATGGTGATGGTGAAGGTGGTGATTGTGATGGTGATGGTGATGGTGATGGTGATGGTGATGGTGATGGTGATGATGATGATGATGATGATGATGATGATGATGATGATGATGATGATGATGATGATGATGATGATGATGATGATGATGATGATGCTCAGCATGATCCTCGTGAGCATGATCATTGTCGGGATGGTTGAGGGCCTGGAGGCAGCACGGCCCCGCCGCCGCGCCCCTCGAGGGGCGCGCACCCCCTCCGCCAGAATGGCCGCCAGCCGCTGGCGGCCCCCCGCCCCGCGCGCGAAGACGGGGGCGGCGTGCCCCGCCCTGGCTGCGCGCCTCTCGGGACAAAAGCCCCCCCCCCTCCTCCTCCTCCTCCTCCTCACCCTCCCTCCTTCCTCTCTCTCCTCCTCCTCCTCCTCCTCCTCCTCCTCTCCTCTCCTCTCCTCCTCGCCCTCCTCCTCCGCCTCCGCTCCTCCTCCTCTCCTCCTCCGCCTCGCCTCCTCTCCTCCTCCACCTCCTCGTCCTCCCCTGCTCCTCCTCCTCCTCCTCCTCCTCCTCCTCCTCCTCCACCCCCTCCTCCTCCTTCTCCTTGTCCTCCATTCCTTCTCCGTATGGATAGCTCCTCCCTGTCGCACCCCGAGGCCAGTTTTTAGGGCGGGCCGGGCGGTTCGCATGAGACTTCCTCACCATTTATGAGTCTGAAGTTTTAAAAGTGGCAAGAGTTTCACATATGGAGGGCGGGTCTCTTTCAAATTGTGGCTCTCGCTTTAGCGCCGCGTACATTCGTTTTTAAACAACTTGCAAGAGTTTCACTGATTGAGGGCGGGTGGTTTCCTACAAATGGCTCTCGCCTCAGCGCCGCGTACAGCCGTTTGAGAAACTTGCAAGAGCTTCACGGATTGAGGGCGGGTCGTTTTCAAATTGTGACTCTCCCTCCAGCGCCGCGCACATTCGGTTTAAACAATTTGCAAGAGTTTCACGGATTCACGGCGGGATGTGTTCATAATGTGGTTCTCGCTTGAGCGCCGCGCACATCCGCTTCAGACATCAATGTGCAAGATTTTCACGGATTCAGGGCGGGATGTTTTCAACAGGTGGTTCTCGCTTGAGCGCCGCACTCATTCGTTTTAACCATTTGCAAGAGCTTTACGCATTGAGAGCGGGTGGTTTTCAACATGTGGCTCTCGCCTTAGCGCCGCTCACATTCGTTTTAACAGTTTTCAGAAGCTTCACGGATTGAGGGCGGGTGGCTTTCATGTGGCTCTCGATTGAGCGCCTCGCATATTCGTTTTTGTTTTTTTTTATAAAAAATGCAAGAGCTTCGCGGGTTGAGGGCGGGTCGTTTTCAACATGTGGCTCTCGCCTTAGCGCCGCGTGCACTCGTGTTAAACATGTGCAAGGGTTTCACGGGTTCCCACGGTCAACGTAAGAGAAATGGTGTTTTGGAAGGGCTCGGGATTCTGCGGGCGCAACATTTAGGTTGATTCGCGGTGTTGAAGTCCCAAAAGTGGCTGGATGAGTTCTCCGTGCCTCGCTCGGCGCCCCTCCTGGTAGCACGATGGCCGTGCGCTCTGTTCTGCTTCCCAGGGAGGCCCTGAGATCCGACGGCGCGAACAAAAAATAAGCATCGCGAGCAATCACGGCCAGAGTCTCAGAAGCCATGCGCCATCTAAGAGGCAGATCGATGGTCGAGGGTCCCGGGCATGAAACCATGCGAAAACGCCTTGGTCGAGAGAAACATGAGCCGCCATGATCTCAGAGAAGGGGCAGGCGAAACGCGACGTCGCCACAAGGATTTCTTGCTCCTGCTCCTGACCCCCTGAGCCGCCGCGGGTACACCTCCGTGTTGCCTCATCGTCCTGGTCTCCTCGACGCCAGGGCTCGAGTCGAGGGAAACGGCGATCTGGCGATTTCGTGGACCGTGCTCGTTCTGAGATGACTTTTCGCAGCAGAGGTGGAGCGAAGACAGAGAGGAGGACAGCGAAAACGAAACGAAACGAACAGCACTGCTCAGCTCGAGCCCCGCTAGACACACTGCGATCCTGGATCTCTCGTTGGTCCTCGACCCTCCTCCCGCTCAGAGAGCCACTCCTCCTCGTCCTCCTCCTCTTCGGCCCTCCTCCCCCCTGGCCCTCCTCCTCCTCGATCCTCCTCCTCCTCCTCCTCGTCCTCCTCCTCCTCGTCCTCCTACTCCTCGTCCTCCTCCTCCTCCTCCTCCTCCTCTTCCTGTGTGTTGTTGTAAACAATGAAGTTTTCGGGCCGTGGTCCTCTCTCTCCTCCCCCTCCCCCGTCTTCCGAATGGTCGGCGGGGCTGGGAGGGCGGGGGCGGCGCAAAGTCTGGTGGTGCCGTTCTGACATAACACGTTATGTTTGTGTTCTCCGCTCAAGTTCTTTGGCTCGAGCGTGCCCGCGGAGTTTCCCGCGTTCTTGCCCGAGCCCCTCTTCATTTGCCCTCCGCGCGGCAGCAGCGCGGGCAATTCGGAGACCTCGGGCTGCTCTTCGTGGTTTGAGTTGAGCTGGAGTCCTTCGACGAGAGGCGGGTGCTGGTGCTGCCGCCGAGTGCGCCTGCGGGCGCTTGCGAGACGGCGGCCTTCGGTTGCTGGTCGTTCGGGCTCGTGGTGTGGTCGTCTTTCTCTGTGGTGATCGGTCTGATCGTGGAGTTGGGGTCGATCGACGAGCCGGGGGTTCTCGAGATCCAGGTGCCAGTGGAGTCATGGGTCTCGCCCGTTCTGTGTCCAGAGCGGGACCGACGGTGTGGAGATGCAGCTGGTGGGCTGCGAGAGTGGCTACGCGTGGGCCGTCATCGGCCCGGACCTGAGCCTCGGTCTGATCTGCTTCAAGGCGAAGATCGCGATCTTCACGGACCCAGTGGAAAGTATTCGTTGGCGGCCGATGCCTTTGGTATCTTTAGTGGAGAGGTACGCTTACGCGAGCCAGTTGACGGTGGGCTTGCGGTTGCGGACGATGCTGACGTTGCCTTTGTACCGCCCCAGCAGATATGGTCAGCGGGCGATGGCGGTGAAGGTGTTGTCTGCCGTTGTCCAGTTGGTAGCTTTGTCTCTCCCGACGCTGAGGTGGTGTTTGAGGAGTCCCGAGCTCTTCCTGGGTGTGCTGGCCGCGTGGTTCGTATGGTCCAAGCCGACGGCGGTGCTGGGTCTGATCGAGTATCCGAAGGAGTTGGGTGTGTACACGATCCGCTACTGGGACACGGCCAAGGAAGCGTTCGTGGTGAGCTCGGAGGTCGTCCAGGAATGGGTCGCCTACCCTTAAGAGTGGAAGGAGTGGTTGCGGAAGCCCATGCCTCTTCAGCGTTGGCTGATGACGTTCTTGGTCTTGATCCTTCGGACCGTCGGGGAGGTTCCCGAATGGGCGGACGGGGGCGAGCATGGAGAGTCTTGTATTGGGTCCTCCACTGATTCGAGTTTGGGTGTGCCCGTCGAGTCGGTGGCCTTCGCTCCTGCGTCCTTGCCGCTGCCTGGTTACCCTTTGGGTGGGGAGAAGACGGCGTCGGTGAATCAGCTGGGCGATCTCGTGGAGTTCCCGAAGGCCCGGACGGAGGTGATCACCGAATCCATGACGGCCGCGCGGGCGAGGGAGCTGTTTCGAGACGTGCGGTGGGTTGGCCTGGGCCCCTTCGTCCGCGCGTATGCCGAAGGCCACAAGCAGGTGATCGATGGCATGATCGCCCGTCTGGACCAGTCCGAGGTCCACCTGAAGGAGGAGGCCCCTGCGGAGGCGAGTGTCGTCGAGAGTGTGGCTGCGATCGGGGGGACGTCTGCTTCGCCTCCTGCCGTCGTCGTGCGCGGATCGCCCGCCGCGACCACCCCCACTACCGTGATGGAGACGCCGCTGAAGCGAGCTGCCACCTCACAGCCGGAGGTCGTCGGGGTTGCCGTCAAGCGGATGCGCTTCGAGGATCAGTTGCCGCAGTTGTTGTGCAAGTGGCAGCTGGACGAGTACCAGGAAATCAAGCCCGAGGAGTGGAACCGTCGCAGGCCCGAGAGTTACCGTCGTCGGCCGAGGTGCTGTCGGAGATCTACTCAGCGAGGAAGACGGCCGATGCCTGGGCGCACGACTTCATCCGGTGCCGTGGGCTGAACGATTGTCACATGGCGCGGGAGATGATCACGGCCTTCGTCGCGGTGGACACGCCGGTGATGACCGACCGCCAGAAGGTCTTCCTCCACCTGGTGAGCTTCGAGTGGCGGGCACGAATGGCGTGCGCTATCATGGGGGTCGACCGCAACGTCCAGAGCCGCGACGACGGGAGGCGTCTCCATGCTGCCAAGAACTGGAAGTCGGAGTTGGCCTGGGAGGCGGCGTACCGCTTGGACCCGCAGTTTACCGACGAGAGTACTATTCGGGTGATGATCGTCGAGGAAGAGATGAAGAGGGCCATGGGTCGCGACGCGGAGCTGATGGAGACGCCCGCCGACCTAGACGGTGGCGCGGTAGCCCCGCCGTGAGAGTCAAGGAGCTTCAATTGGGGGCGCTCGGTGTCGAGTCAGGTGGCCTCTGTAGCTGGCGTCGCGGGGCCTCCGCGCGTCGGCGTCTTTTGTCTAGTGTCTAGTGCATTCTTTCTGCTGCAGCTGACTCGCATCATCGCCGTCGGCTGGCCCGTGAGCTTGCGCGCGCCGAATTTGGGTTTTCAGGTCTCGGCGGCGGGACATCCTGTCCGAGGTGGTGCTGTTCGTGTGCCCGAGGCGGCCTGTTGTGACCTCTCGTCGAGTGCTCTCGCGCTGAGAGGAGGAGATGGAGCTGGGCGAGATGGCGAACCGCCCTCTCTCGGCGTTGCGGCAGCTCCACCGTGGGAGTCTGGGCGACAGTCTACTGGGCCTGGCCGACTGCTGGTGCCTCGGGATCGCGTTCGACAACTTGGACGGGGGCCTCTCTCGGCGGGTGCCTGGAGAGGTTGGTCACCAGTCGCCGCCGTCGACTACGCCCTCACAAGGAGCCGCGCCCCTGCGGCTGTGCCTTGCCGCCGCTGCGGCGGGCAATCAGTCCCAGTCTACCTTCAGGCAGAGGGTGGCCGAACTTCGGAGGAGGAGTACTGGCAGGAGTGGACGGCTGCCAGACAGGGGCGAGACGTTTCCGGATCAATTGGATCGACTTGCCCTGCCTCCTCCGGGGACCAGACCTGTGAGTGCGAGGTCTGCGTCGCCTCGAGTGGCACAGAAGTTGGAGATGTTCAAGGAGGAGATGTTGAGGAAGGATGGCGAGGCTTGTGTTCAGGCCCGCCAGAGACGCAACTACGTGGACCTGTCCTTCCGCCAAAAGACGAAGAGGCTGAGGGCCCGTAAGGGTTGGTATTAGCGGGTATTGCTGTGTCGCCCGCGAGACGTTGGAGAGGTAATGTCTCTGTTTAGTTCCCCCCCCCACCCCCCCCCCCCCCCCCCCCCCCCCACTCCCCCCCCCCCCCCCCCCCCCCCCCCCCCCCACCCCCCCCCCCACCCCCCCCCCCCCCCCCCCCCCCCAATATACACTCCCCTTTCCTTTCCCCACGCGCATCACAGCTAATCCCTACTTTCCTATCCCCCCCCTACCCCCCCCCCCCCTCCCCGTCCCCCCCCCCCCCCCGCTGAGGGTGGTGTTCGACGAGAGACGTTCCAACCTGCGTTGGCGGTCTCCCCTTTGGCGTGCCAGGGGAGGGGACAGGGCGATGTCTTTCCTGGACGTGTCCGGGGAGACGAAGGAGGACGACATGAGCGTGCGCTTCGGCACGTGCGAATTCCTCGACGTCTACGACACGGTGGAGTTTGGGGAGGAGCTGGTGTCGCACTTTGTGAGTCACAGCGTGTCGGGCGACGCGCTGGACGCACTGCCCCCCGAAGGCTCGTCAGGGCCTGGGGGCGTCCCCTGCGTCGGGGCGAAGGTCTCGTTGATGGCCCCCGCTCGGGCGTGCTGGACGGCGGAGACTACGATGGAGGACCCCCTCCATGCTGGTCCCCGGGTTGGGCCTTCTTCGTTTTCAGGAGTTGGGCGACTTGCCGAAGGCGGGCCATTGCCTCATCGCAGTCGGGAGCTACCTGCTACGCACGAGGAGTACATCGACGACTTCGGTGTCCTGGGCTTGGGCTTTCGGACCCAGCCTGGGCGGGAGACGGTGGCGACGGTGGAGGAGGTCTGGCTTGGTCCCAAGGAGTTGGTGGCCGTCGCGGGCTTCAAGGTGCACAAGGATGCCTGATCGAAGTATGCTTGTATGATTGGTGGCGACCTATGGGGAGGCCGTCTGGAGCCGAATCAGGACACGACGGGGATGGTGGTCTTCGTTATACGGGAGATCCTGACTCACCAGAGGGAGCTGCCCGACACGGGCGCGCGGAGCGTTGGTATCCTGTCCTGGGGCTTCCTGATCTGCCGCGGTGTGCTGAGCGTCTTCGCGGACGTGCACCCGGGGCGCATGGAGTTCCGGTGGGGAGTTCGACGCGAGGTCCTACGGGAAGTGCTGAGGGAGATGGCCGCGACCGCAGCGACAGTGCCGCTGATCTCGTGGTACCGCTCGACGCCCTGGGGCCCGACGGTGACGATGTTCTGGGCCTGCGGCGCCGGGCCTCTGGGCCATCAGGCCAGGGTGCTGCGGTGGCGGAGCACAGGGTGCACCGCGATCCTCGAACCTCGGCGATCGAGGGGCGCAGGAGGGGGAGGAGGAGGAGGAGGAGGAGGAGGAGGAGGAGGAGGAGGAGGAGGAGGAGGAGCAGGAGGAGGAGGAGCAGGAGGAGGAGGAGGAGGAGGAGGAGGAGGCGCTGGAGGAGGAGGAGGAGGAGGAGGGGAGGGGGGAGGGGAGAAGGAGGGGGAGTAGGAGGGGTAAGGAGGAGAGGCGCAGGAGAGAGAAACGATTAGAACAGAGAGAAAGAGTGAGAAACGCGAGAGAGCAAGGAGCGGGAAAGAGGAGGCTGAGGAGAGGGAGGAGGGAGGTGGAGATGGAGGGGAGGAGGAGGAGGTAGGAGGAGGAGGAGGAGGAGGAGGTGGAGAGGGCTGGAGGACAGGAGGAGGAGGAGGAGGAGGAGGAGGAGGGGGAGGAGGAAGACGGGGAGGAGCATCAACCGACCCGCACGGCTTGCGGAGGCGCTGACGGGCGATTAGCAGCATGAAAGGGACGGGAGAAGCAGGACGAGGAATGGAGAAAGAGGAAGAGAAAGGCAGCAGGAAGTGCAGGAGAAGGAGGAGGAGGAGGAGGCGGAGCAGGAGAGTTCTGGGACTGGACTGTCATGTTTCTAGTGGTGGGTGTTGCTGTTGTTGGTGATTGAGGGTGATTGATGCTGATTGGTGTGGAACTTGTTGATGCTGCTGGTGATGATTGATGATGATGATGATGATTGGATGATGCTGATGATGATGATGATGATGAGGACGGATGGACGATGACGATGACGATGTTTGATGATGATGATGCTGATGCTGATGAGGATGATGCTGATGTGATGATGATGATGGGTGCTGCTGATGATGATACTGATGCTGGTGGGGATGGGTGCTGCGACGTTGACGATGCTGCCGGTTTTGGATGGGTGAAATGATGCTGTGGTGTGTTGTGTGATGATGATGTGTGGTGATGTTGATGATGCTGATCCAGACGATGATTAAAACACACGTATGACGAGGCTTTGCTTTACACCGAGGTCGAGGAAAGGCGATGTGACCCGACCCCTACCCCACGCCTCTCCCTCACGTCCGCTACGATTTGCCGCCATGCAGACGCATCTGGGCTCGGGCAGGGCACGGCCGACCACTGGTCCAGCACGGACCTCGGAGGCGCCGTATAATCTCTCCTGTGGCCCTGCAGCGCGACCACCTGCCGAGGGGTGGAGGGTCCCACGCCCACGGCAGCAGCACGCAGGGGACGACGAGGCAGTCCATCAGAGCGTGAATTGCCTACCCCGCCTTCGCTTCCAGGCAAAACCAAGTCGTACCACGCGCCTCCTCGTCAAGCGGCCTGGCCAGTACAGGCCGTAGTTTGGAATCGCCTGGTATCTCTTGGGAGCGAGGGTGGTCAAACACGAGGTAGGTTTGTTTGCCTGCACCCTAGTCAAGCGACACATGCATTCGGGCAGCGAGCCATGGTACCACCAGGCTAGCATCAAGTCGGGCCTGTCTCTCTACAGGGGGAATCTTCCAGAGTAGCCAAACGATAGCCAGGGGACACTTGTTGCTACCCCCTTTTAACGTTTCCTTTGTATGTTTTCACTATCTTCAATGTTTCGCGCGACTTCGGTCTGCAGGGGGGCTTGCCCGACCTAAGGCTATCGCGCACGTAAGCATGGAGCGTCAAACGTCTGGCGCCGTGCAAGCACCGTGCAGCAACAGCTGAAGGGGGTCCGAAGGAGTGTCCCGACAAGAAGGTGTCCCGACACATGCTGCGTGTGTGTTCGGCCGCCGAGCTTTAAGCAGAACGATTTCTCGGAATCGTCGAGGTCCCGCACGCTTACGCGAGCCAGTTGACGGTGGGCTTGCGGTTGCGGACGATGCTGACGTTGCCTTTGTACCGCCCCAGCAGATATGGTCAGCGGGCGATGGCGGTGAAGGTGTTGTCTGCCGTTGTCCAGTTGGTAGCTTTGTCTCTCCCGACGCTGAGGTGGTGTTTGAGGAGTCCCGAGCTCTTCCTGGGTGTGCTGGCCGCGTGGTTCGTATGGTCCAAGCCGACGGCGGTGCTGGGTCTGATCGAGTATCCGAAGGAGTTGGGTGTGTACACGATCCGCTACTGGGACACGGCCAAGGAAGCGTTCGTGGTGAGCTCGGAGGTCGTCCAGGAATGGGTCGCCTACCCTTAAGAGTGGAAGGAGTGGTTGCGGAAGCCCATGCCTCTTCAGCGTTGGCTGATGACGTTCTTGGTCTTGATCCTTCGGACCGTCGGGGAGGTTCCCGAATGGGCGGACGGGGGCGAGCATGGAGAGTCTTGTATTGGGTCCTCCACTGATTCGAGTTTGGGTGTGCCCGTCGAGTCGGTGGCCTTCGCTCCTGCGTCCTTGCCGCTGCCTGGTTACCCTTTGGGTGGGGAGAAGACGGCGTCGGTGAATCAGCTGGGCGATCTCGTGGAGTTCCCGAAGGCCCGGACGGAGGTGATCACCGAATCCATGACGGCCGCGCGGGCGAGGGAGCTGTTTCGAGACGTGCGGTGGGTTGGCCTGGGCCCCTTCGTCCGCGCGTATGCCGAAGGCCACAAGCAGGTGATCGATGGCATGATCGCCCGTCTGGACCAGTCCGAGGTCCACCTGAAGGAGGAGGCCCCTGCGGAGGCGAGTGTCGTCGAGAGTGTGGCTGCGATCGGGGGGACGTCTGCTTCGCCTCCTGCCGTCGTCGTGCGCGGATCGCCCGCCACGACCACCCCCACTACCGTGATGGAGACGCCGCTGAAGCGAGCTGCCACCTCACAGCCGGAGGTCGTCGGGGTTGCCGTCAAGCGGATGCGCTTCGAGGATCAGTTGCCGCAGTTGTTGTGCAAGTGGCAGCTGGACGAGTACCAGGAAAT